CTCGGTTGTGCCTCGGGAAATAGTTGCAGTCTTGGGGACGATAAAACTGTTGTCTGAATGGTTGTATGATATATTAAAGGCCAAAAATATTTTTAAGCCTTTATATCATATTTTGAACTTGCAATTGAATATCTGTATGTGAAAAAAATCAAATAAGTTAAATCGAAAATCACAGGTGATAATTGTTTAAAAGTTGTTTATGTTTTGATTGATCGCTTAGCAATGTAACAGAATCTTTATTTCTGATGTGCATGAAGTGCAACAGACTGGCACTTCAAAAACATCATCCCTGAGAACTACTTTTCGTGATACAGAAATTCATTTAATTAATGACAAAAACATTGTTTGAATTTTGGATGTTGTAAGACTTCGTACAAAAGACAAGTCATGTTTCGAGATCTTATCTGCCAATCTGCACCGGACATTGAACATTGATTTTGTCATAAAGAAATTCTTTATTTACTGAAGACAAGGAAATATAATACAGGACCGGAGATTTGCAGTCATCAGAAACTCAATTCACAAAGATCAAAGTCCATTATAAACAAAGAAACCATTTTATTTACTAATTGCCATTCCGTGCCGTTTTCCTTTTAGTCTTAATGTAGCATTTGATGACCAATCAGCGCTATCGTTAGAAATAGCACGGGACATTTCCAGTCAACTTCCTTTGCTAATGACAGCGGTGAAGCGCTTTTCCTTTGCAAGAGGAAATTATACATCTAAAAGGTACGGCTAGCTTCCTGGAGAGAACCAACCATCGGTGTGTGATCGGAAAGGCGCATAGTGCTCACACCGCAATTACGGGTAATTTTATCGAGTTTCGGATACCAGAATTTGTATTCGACTTCTGCAAGTTAAGTCCCAGACAATTGGCGTTTCCGCAAACTTCGGGGAAAAGAAATCCTAAAGATAAAAAAAATTCTCCGTATTCCTTTGTAATGTAATTTGGAGACAATTTTAGACTTAAGAGAAGTTGACAGGTATTTTAAAAAGGTTCTATAAAATACTATTCCTTAAAATTATTCAGCTTTATTTTCTTAAGAAAAGTACCTATTCAAAACGTGACTGATAGCAAGAAAAGACAAAAACATTCAGTTTTTTATCCCTTAATTAATGAGAGAATGATGCAAGGCATGTCTTCATGTTGCGTAATATCGAATGGTTACAATCAGCATAAATTTAAAGGGTGATTACCGTGATTTTATAGTTGTGAACGCGTTTGAAAGTTATTGATATTTAACATTTTGCAAAAGATCATTTATGTTCCCAATTGCATCTGGTTAATTAACGGCTAAGATTTAAGTAAATTCTTATTTGTTGCAATTGAACGGAATGAGTGATTATATATATATGTATATATATATATATATATATATATATATATATATATATATATATATATATATATATATATATATATAAATATTTGTTTGAAGCGAAAAAGTATGGCTTTCATATTACTGACTAATTAGCCATGTACTCACTGGCAATTGAAAATTGTTAATTAGTGAAAGACAATATTATGGGAATACATGCCAATAGACAGAAATCATTTTAAAATGAAAACCCGATTTCTTTTTCTAATAGTAATGATTACAGGCTTTGAAGCACTGATGACGTTTAACATACAAGTTCTACCTTAACTTCTGAAGAATGGCCAGGACACGAGGCTTGGAACTTTTACAGACAAACCAAATGTAATTATGGTTTGCACAATTGATGCCAGCATTTCTATTTTAAACATCCATTAAGTACTATGTCCGATTTTCAATTTATCAACCATCCACTGCTTCCAATAACTAATCAATTCTCGTATACTTTACTACCCGGGGCCGACTTCCGGGTAATTCGGTGCTGTCTTTGACGGTTCCGGAAGTTACTCCGCGGTTGGTTCCTGTTTCAGGAAAGTTGTTTCATAATTTCAGGAAATTTGAACCCGAATTGAACACTGAAAAATACGAGTATTAGCAATGCAAAACGAGTTCGATCAAAGACCGAGGAAACAGCGTATTAAAAGCATCATTTTAAGAGCATTTTTATTGTAGAAAAGGAAAGCAAACGAAAAGCCTATTACCCGAGGTTGAAAAGAAATTGATCAGAACTTTTGAAAGTAAATTACTTTTTGTAATCGCTCTTCTATATAACAACTTTATCGCAATGCTGGAGGGTCTGAGTTTTATTGTAATTCAAATTCCTAGGGCATTAGTTAATACTGCACGGGTTAACACAAAATGATATTAAGCAATATAAACGTGTTGAGGAAAATTAAACATTAAAACCCTTCCATGACAAACCAAGCTTCATATTACAGAAATATTTTATTTTATGCTCATTTATCTTTATTCAAATTAGATCTCAGGGGGAAAAAGTCGAAATTATTTTGGAGGTAAACTGAATATATTGTCGAAAACAAAACTAGCCTCATCGTAGAAATAGTTAATAGGAACAGACAGCGATTGCCGTGGTTTTGACTATCTATAAGTAGAGACTAAGCCCTGCCAGAAGGTTATCAAGGGTTCCTCTCCTAACAAAGCAGTTAGTGTGCAACTCAAATCCTTATTTTGTTATTTCGAATTCATAATATTCATTATTCATCTGAGTTTAACAATAAATAGATGAGTTGTGTTATAACACTGATCCTCGACAATAGTTAAGTAAATTTACCACTAATACTGGTTTCTGGACTTCTACCGAAAATCACCAAATTTTCGAATTTCAGTGTCATCAAAATGTTTAACTTTTCCACGTTTTATTTTTGTATTCATATGAAGCAGAATTTGTGCAAAATCTTATGCGTGAAAAAGAAAATACTTGCTATGACCCTCAACTCGATCGACATTTAGATATATCGACGACGCATTTGTCAATTAACAATGATAATTTTCATTCTTATGTCGATACGATATATCCCGCTGAGCTTGAGATAAAAGATACCACAGAGTCTGACACATCTGTTACTTATGGATATTTTACTTGAAAAAGACGTTAATGGTAATCTAACAACCAAGCTCTATGATAAACGTGATAACTTTTAACTTTTCTATCGTCAATCTTACTTATGCAGCAATATTCCATCATCACCAGCATACGTAGTTTATATATCTCAGTGATTCGATACGCAAGAGCATGCTCTACGTATGAACAATTTCTAAAACGAGGTAAGTTATTGGCAAACAAGTTGATGAAACAAGAATTGTTTGTCCATTATTTACACACTGAATTGACGACGGATTTTCCGTTACTTCTCGATCATGACAAGATCCACACGGCGGGTGTTACCAGTCTGCAGAGGTTGCTCACTCCTCCATGTCACCTGATCCCACTTCTGGTGTTTTGGAGGCCCGTGTTTGCTGTGCTCCTATATTGTATTTTATCATGGAGTTTTGATCTTGCTACATTAAAATGCTACATATTATGGACTTTTGATCCCACTACATTAAAACCATCCATGTTTGATATCATAGGTCAATTGCTTCTTCAATAAAGATGGAACTTGATGTTGTCACCTTTTGTGATTGGTCATCGAAATATTTCATTTAAAATCATGCTGATGTTACACACAAGTACTCAGAAGCCTACCAATGTTAATATATAGGTCCCTGCCTAAAGTTTGATATCAAAAGGATGCTAAAGTTCCTCATTGAAAAAATTTATCTAGCCTTTGGAGACCACCTTGGTCTTTCAATAAACTGATGGAATCTTTTAAGGCACAAATTGTGTTCCTTTATTAGCCGATATATTTTTATATTCCTGTAAAGCGGATTTCATTCAACAAGAATATCAGCAGTCTCTCGTTTAAAGTCATCATTTCATAAGTTCTATGGTCGCAACAAAAGAATGTAGCTATCAATTTTCCATCATAAGAACAGTTATAAAAACATTGCTTCCGCTAAAGTATTAGAACTCGGGAGAAGAGCAAACACCGTAACAACATAGAACCTCTAAAACATTATATGTGTGATCAGGCGCCATGGAGGAATAAACATCCCCTGTCAATCGATCAGACATGTCCTGTGATCCTTGCCACGATCGGGAAATGAAGAAAGGAGAATATTCAGTGTGTGATTAATAGTTAAAAAATTAGAATGAGAAGTCAAAATTCGACTTGATGATAGATTTAGATGTACTAGTAAATTGTGAAATGCTGACTTTGAACGAGACTGTTGATATCCATGCATCTTTTTATTATTAGCTTCGCAGAACTTCTATGTTCAATCAGTATGTTTTGATAAGATAATTTTTCAAATGACAAGGTATGTTAATTTACGAGTTCCATTTTTATTGAAAAATCAGCTACCTTTGATGTCAAATCTCCAGACTTTAACTTATTCTGGGAAATGACAAGTTAAAATTCTTAAGATGTTTTCTAAACGCGCGTTCCTTGGATTTTTTAAGGATCCACATCTGATATACAACACTTCTCAAATTTATTGTTTCACAGTTCTCCCGAAGTTTCCCCTTGACTGCTATTGATATTTTACGGAGGAGTTACGAAAAAGGCTAGGTAGAACATTAAAGGAGCCCGCTATGTATTTGTAAGAATTGTTTATGAAATTTATGAAGCTGGTAGAGGTCCGGTAATTCATATTCATTTTGGTGGTTGGAAATGTGAAAACAAAAAATGACGATTGATCTCGTAGAATTCCTTCCTTAGATATTAAATTATAATCCTGCACACAGTTTGTGCGAAAAGAAACGCAAAGATATCTTTAAAAAAAAAAAGATAATTATGTATATGTATCACTTGTTACTCATTAATCATTAATTTCACATTGAGTAGACTCGCTGAATTAATTATCATTAAATGTGCCTAGTGTATCTTCTAGACTTACAGAAAAAATTAATGACGTTTGGACGCAGGAAACTGATTTCAAAAAGGTCGTCAATATGATTGCAATTAGGTTACAGTATCACGTATGAGTCCACACAATTCTCTTTCTTGGTGATTGCTTGGTGCACACTCAGAATAGCTTGATAAATAAAGCACAACACTGAAATCAAAAATAATATCCAACATTTATTTTTAACGAGTTACATGATGATACATAAAATTTCAACAATTCTCATCAAAATGGCCGTTATTATAATAACAATACAGGCTCTGAGATCACTTCCGGTGTAAGAGACTGAAAAAGTACACACATTACTTATGATTATAGTCATACAACTAAAATCTTCCTTTCCGATTTCCCTAATTTGTAAGCTAACTGCTTATCCTCGATGCTCTTTATAGGCTTCAACGTACGTCTGCTACGTGAGGTAGCAAAACAATGGATGAACATAAATGTCATTGCAACAGACTTGTCTGCTTTTAAACATTATACATGAAATGAAGCTACAACTTGTATTTAACAATAGCACTGGCCTGGTAATTTGAAACATAACGCTGTGTGACGACCAAAGAAAAAAAAGAGAAATTACGGATCAACACAGTATTTACAATGATACGAAATATCTAGGAATGTATCAACTAATTTCTCATAATATCTTGAAAACAATACAGCCAAAAATTAAATTTAAGAACTCTGGCAAGTACCCCATTAACACTCTCAATAATGATACATATCTGATTCAAAACAACATTTTATAAAGAATGAAAGTCAATTACATTCTATGTAAAAAATATCTTTGAATTTGTTAGGGAACATTTTTTATTCAGGGACGGGGGGGGGGGGGGGCCTGTCTGAGTTGATGTGCGATCTGAAAAGTTTGTTTTTGCTAGGTAAAGCAGAACTACTCTACATGTCTGGTATGTCATTCTAAACATACCTACTTATAAAATACAAAATTATTTAAATTTGTGGCGCACTATTCTTATTCTCCTATTTACAAAGAATACTAAATATTCATACCTCAAAAGGGGATAACAATTAAGTTTCCTATTGCCAAACTCTGGTAAGATTAAGGCAACTGAAATGTACAATTGTTTCTTTCCAAGATACAATGTATTCATGTATATAATGAAAGCACATAACGAGGTGACAAACACTAAGCTTTTTAAGAAAACTCGAGGTATTTGTGTATCAAAAGGAGATAACAATTTTGTGATTAAATGCCAAACACTGGGGAAAAAATTAAATCAACTGAATTACGTATTTTTTGTGCAAGATATTCATGTGATCCAAGAACACAATAAAGTGACAAAATGAGCTAATATAACAAATGCAAGGGGAAAAAACAAACATTCATGATCTTTGACCACAAAATAGATAAAATAAATCCTTGCTTACATCGCTATAATTACAAAATGATGAAGGCAAAATGATATAATCATGAGTAAAATGTGCTCATGTGAGAAGGCAAAGTTCCCGGATGTCCTGGCATCACATGATTCAACGTGTTCGGGAAAATGTTATTGGTTGACGTTGACCAATATGAAGCAGTAGGGGACAGGAAGCCTGCCGTGGTCGTTGGAATGGGTGGATGAGGAGACAAGTAATTGAGTCTGGGAGGGGCGTATCCTGACATGCTGAACATTTCGTGCTGATATCGGTAAGCATTCGTCTCTGGGGTAGAGGGTTGCATCGCTTGAGTAAGGCCGACAAAGTCAAATTTGTAAGCGTATCGTTTTCCGTGCACTTTCGTCATGATGTTTTTGTCGTAGTAATACCTAAGTGCCCTGCTTAGTTTGTCGTAGTTCATGTTCGGTTTGGACTTCCGCTCTCCCCACCGACGCGCCACCTCATCTGGGTCCACTAACTTAAATTCGCCATTGCTGCCTTCCCAGGCAATACAAGAACAATTTCTTCTATCAGACAACAGTTCTAACAGAAACTGCCACAACTGAATCTGCCCACTTCCTGCAACAAATTATTGTAAATTCCTTAAAGGGTTTTTATCATGCATCATGATTTTTTGATATAACAAAGTTTATATGCTATTAAAATCATCCATCAAAATTTTTTGGTTAGAAAATTAATATTTTGGTTGTTTCAGCGATTCAAAGTTTAAATTTCTCAATATGCATATTTTGATCGCCGATGTTGCGCGCCATTGCTCTGACGTCATAGGTGTCAGTCCTGGTCAAGCGAAGTACTTATTGTGTTTACAAAACGACCCAATGGCTTCGTCTATAAACCCTACTAGTAATTAAGAAATGATAATTGGTTAATCAATAGATATTTATAAATAATTTGTGGCGTTTAGATGAAAAATCAGCACAGGAAAGGTTTTAGGAAGTTTCTTTTACCTGCCAGGGACTTGGTCGGTGCGAGGATTTGTCTGTATATTCAGAGCATTGGTTTATGTACGATCAAAATTTTTCTGTATTATATAAAATATATATTTAATGGAAATAGTATTTTTTTTCAAAAAAAAAAAATCAATATGCATTTAATGCACAAAGACTAGTGTTGTGAAGCTCGTAATGGCGTACCATTGCGTACGGCGCCATTGAAGATCGAAGTATCCTTTCTATCAAATGATGTTCATTGCTGGAACAGATAGAAGATACACAAGATCTGTTTATGTATAATTTATTAAAATAACGAAGAAAGAAAACGTATGACCATTTTTATAATTATTTAAGAAGTCAAAGGTTAATAATTCGATCTATTTAGTCGAAGCCACAGGAGTTGTCACGGCTTGTCTTCAATGCCTTCTCCTTTTTCACGGTGTGTTTTTTATTTATTTTTATGCTGTAGAAGTTAAAACATATAAGATTGAGCATCCATAGCCAAAGTAATATTGTCAATATCAAAATTTCTTTCAACCTAGTGGTGTATTCTTTTTATTTCAGGCAAATATCTATACGGTATAGATGTTTTCTTACGATACGCTTTACGAGGTCTAATTGCCCATTTTTCAGTACCACGTGACCCCTATCTAATTAGTGGAGATTTTCAATCTGAAGAACCTACATTACGGACGTATTATGGCTTAAATACGACAGTTTAAAGCATTATTTTATGATTAAACGATAATTATATGTTTCAAGAATATAATAGTGTTTAATTTTTAAGAAATTTCTATGCGTGATAAAAACCCTTTAATTTATAGTTCATCCATTTCAATGAATATTGACAAATTCAGTTATCACGATATAATCCATAAAGTTCATTTAACAAACAGTGGCATGTATATTTAATGCATTTTTACAGAGAATATCCTTATGTATATTTTCGACGATTCTTATAACATTTTATAAATAACCATGTTTTTTATGCCCATGGATCGAAAGATCGCGGGGGTATACTGTTTTTTTTCCTGTCTGTCTTTCTGGCCGTCTTTTTTGTCTGTCTGTCATCAACTTTAACCTAGCCCATAACTACTGAGTGGGTCGGGCTATGGCTTTCATATTTCATAGGCGTATTCCTTGTAACAAGACCTTTCTTCGGGTACCACTAAATTTGACCTCTTGACCTTGGAATTTGACCGACTTTTACAAAAAAAAATACCACACCTTAACCTTGGCCATAACCTTTAATCAGTTGGAGCTAGGGCTTTCATATTTCACATGTGTATTTATTGTGACAAGACCTTTCAGCTGGTATAAATATTTTTACCTTTTGACCTTGACCTAAGAGTTTAAAGCATTTTTATAAACTTTTACCTTGGTCATAACTTCTGAACAGTTAGAACTATGACTTTCATAATTCACAGGTGTATTCCTTGTAACAAGGCCTTCCTTTGGGTACCAACACTGACCCTTTGACCTTTGGAGTTTGACATGCATTTTTTTCAAATTTACTGGGTAGAGGTAATATATCATGGTGCCCACATTGCCCACCTGTCCTACAGTTAACTGACCTACACTAGGATACTTGTATCATGATGAAACATGTCCTACAGTTAATATCCTTTTAAATTGGCCTATGTTAGGATTCTTGTATCGGACACTGCTTCTTGCTGTTATACTTTCCAACAGACCTTAAAGGCTTTGGGAATTTAGATTTTTGAAAGGCTGTGTTTAACTAAAAATGGTTTCCTCCATAAAAATAAAATAAATTGTGGCTTCCTCGTTTTTGAGAAAGAATTTTAAAGACTTTTCCTATGTACTAATAGTATGTTTATTCTTGTACTATTTGTTCCATTGTAAAAAAATTTTCCTTTCCCTTACTTGAGAGGGGGGGGGGTCATGATTTGAACAACATACAGCTACTTTGATGAATAGACCCAGATATTTCCATTACCTTTCTCTCTGACTCTAACCCCCCCCCCCCATATTAAAAAGAAAAAGGAAATTCATTTTCCCAAAGATAATATTTTATACTGTGGTGATAAAAAAAACAAATAATAATGAAAATTAATAATGTGCCATTTGATAAACACACTTAAGTGGAATTTAGAAGTATTAAGGATATTGAATGTGATTATCTAATAATTTACTATGACATTACTCATCATTATAAACGCGGTTTTGTAAGGCGTTATTTGACCTAAAACCATTTGAAGAAGAGGCTCAGCAGCCTACACACTATGTAACGTTGAAGGTCAACCTAGACTGATTAGTTTGTAGCAATTATTAGCTGTGAAAACTTTCTCCTTATAGGGTTTGAAAGTTGAAAAACACATAGACGGTTCACCTGTCACAGGTGTGACTATATATGTACCTAATGACTTACCTGTGCTGGACAGCCGCCCCACCAAGGGTCCAAGTAATGTGTACGGGTCTGTCAAAGTAAATATTAAATGACATTTAGAAGTATACATTCTCAAATCAAGAAAAAATTAATAATTGCGAAGAGAAAAAAAAGAGGATGACAAAGGAAGAATCGCTTAATTTTTTTACCCAATGGAATAATTTGCTTATCTTTTTGGGGGAAAGTCAAAGATATTTTTAATTCAGAATAATCATAAGCTAATGCAATCACGTGCTCTATGCCCTTTGCAATTCTTTGTGAAAAGTTTAGCTACCCAAGGGGATAAAATGATTTCCGTTCTTGGACAAAGTATAAAAGGGTTGCTTTCTTGGTTTACATTACCCTAAAACTCGATTAGTTCTCAGGACTAGGTTCTGGTGAGACTTAAGGCAAGAGAAAATGATTGTATTCTAACAAAATCAGTCCCCCTTTGAGGAATGAATCTGAATTAACACTACTCAACTGGTACTTTACTTAAAGATTTCTTAGTTATGACCAGTGTCACAAAGACATCTGAATATCGCTTCACCATCGTTCTCAGAGTATAAAGGCATAACGAACAATTGAACACTTTCAAATTTTAAGGGTAGATGGTTTCTGTCTTGGGGAAACAAACGTTTGCCAATAAACCCCTTTCGCTGCTTTAAACTTTTTATTCAGATTTTGCAGATGGATTTTTGAATTATTATAACATGTTCCAGTTCTGGGATAATCAATATTTGTTTCATTCATAGCGCTCCTTTAAGAAAGGACTTGACGATATGGTCAATTTCCGTTTATTCTCGCTTAGTGTAAGTTTCTAATGAGCAACAAATTAACAGTATTCACACCATGAAACCTACTAGAAAATGCCATAAAATTAAAAAGATATTTAACACTTGAAACATTTTTAATCAGTCGAGATTTATATTCTTTCAAAACAATTCTTAAAAAGAAATAAATTCGGGTATTTCGAGTAAAAATGAAAATATTTAAATCAGACCCTTAGTCTAACTATTGTTTAATGCAAAAATATGAAGACATACCCTGTGATGTTTGGCTGGGCTGCGGGGACCACGCCGATTTTGTGAATCCTGGATCTGAAAATAATATTTAAAAAATTAAAGCCGGTTTCATAAATTCTAAATCTGAAAATAATATATAAAATTTTTAAAAAGCACGCGTTCTTTTTTAAATTAATTTCTTATAATGATTTCAGCCATTGTTTATTTAACTAAAGACCATACAATATACTGACCGGCCGAAGAATTTAACAGACTACAAAAGTTTATTAGAGAGTCTTCTCCTCGAACCCTCTTAAAAGCCAATACCTACCTGGAAACATAAACGGCGAGAATCCGCCAAAAGCACACGGATGAATATAGTCCATATATTTGAATTTGTGACGGAAGGACAGTTTATAAAAGCTGTCGTCCAGCATGGGGGAGGACAATCTTAACTGACCAGTCATCAATATCTAAAAATACTTTTTTCTCTTTTTCAAACACTTGAAAAATTGTTAAAAGTTAATCACAAGTTTTATGAGTGTACTCCCTGACATTTATAATATCACAAAAGATGGGATCGTTTTCACACATTAGCAAAGACACTTTTCATTAGTTGATTCTGAATAACTATATGTACAGCCGCTAAATTGTTGACATTGAAAACTTGGTGAAGACATATTCCTGTTTTCGAGCAATAGCAAATCGATCAGTGAAGGGGCGTTATTTCGTTTTATTAGAAAAGGTGCTAACCATTTGAATGTGGAGGAATTGTTATGGATTTGAGTGTTTTCAAGTCCTGGCCAATCAGAGGAGAGAGATGTACGGAGAAAAGCCTTTTGATTATTTTAATCCATTTTTTAATCATTATTATTAACATCTTTGTTCGAATATAATGTATAATGTTAACGTTAATTAATGTTTATAAACATCCGAAAGATAGATTTTGATACAAAATTAAAAAACAATAAAAAAAAAATCACAATAATTAAAATCAACAAATTTTATGACCGATTTAAAAGTTTGGAATTATTCCTTTCAAATGTTCATTATTGAATCATGATTTCTTATTTAATATATCAAAAATTCTACATTTTTTTTTTTCTATGTAACACTTTGTATTTTTTTTTCAGAGTCAGACTTCTAAGTAAAAATTATTAGAGACACATTTAGAATAACGATATAGGCGTTGAAAAAGATCCTTCTTTTTTAACACAAAATGTACAGTACAAAATAAAGAAATTGAAGTCAAAACTACATCTATAGTTATATAAGTTGAATAATTTCATTTTTTTTTTTGGATATCTCGAATTAAAAAGAAAAAATACACTATCTTGGTTTGTTATACGTTATAAATTGCTGATTGTTAGAATTTATGCAGTGCTGATCGAATTCGGAATATTTGTTTCAAGCAGTGTCTAATTTCCTAATATTTCCATGACAGATTCACTTTTATCTCATTTTACAAATGAACAAAGTTAGTAGAAGTATAAAAGGAACAACGATTTCCCATATGTCGGTTTAAAAAACAAAAGGAAGAGTGGTAATTTATCTCCCGACAATCAATATATTTATCAAGGCGACCACAATTAAAATACCGATATCAAATGGATTTAGCTGTATGCAAAAAGTTAATATTTTGAAATGAGAGATGTAATATAATTGACAAAAATAACCATTTGAAAAGTTGATCGACTTTTCAATGTGCCGCTTAGATCAGCTATTAGTATGTGTTAATTAGATGTGATCTGTCCACAAAAGATGGAGAAAAGGATTTGCGATCGCAAAGACAAACTTTTTTTTTACTGAAAAGAATGCGATGAAATTCTACACAGCTGTATTTGTGATTGGATATTATAGACAAAGACCTCCCCTTCAACTTCCTATTTTAAATGCAAACTTTTATCTTCAGCAATTTTTTTTTTAGAAAAACCCTGTTCAATGTGCTTAAATTTTTCACTCACTAGAAATAATCGGAAAATACTGAGTTTTTGTTGTTGTTTACATTTGCTAATGTTAACTTTTCGTTTTAATTCAAAATCTAAAGTCAAATAAAGAGTTACAGATGTATTCTGTATCTTAAATCTTGAATGCTGGTATGAGAAAATGGAGTTTTATTCATAGTTTCCTAGTGCAAACTTTTGTTGTTTGCTATGGAAGAAAAATTCCAACAGAAGAAAATGTTTTGTTCCGATTACTTCCCGTGTTGTGTAGGACGGGGAACTTCAAAGACCCTCAGCAGACGAAGGGACTTGTATCAAATCGGTAGTTAGGATCCCAATGTACACAAATTTACCACTTCGTAAAAGTAAATAGTAACAATATGAGCTGATCCTAAAATGTAACAACCTGCCAAATTTGGTCACAGAACCGAGAAATCTGGGAAAGTCAATAAAGTCTGGTAAGAAATAAACAAACAAATCACCGACCTAAAAGACGCAACAAATAAAAAGAGAGAAAAAAGGCACACGCCTTTATTCTTAGTCAAGTACATTTGAGTAATGTTCACTTTTGCGCACCCTATCGGGTGATTTCGCAGATGCAGGGGCGATAATCCGATTTTTAAGGATCAGCTGAAATGCAAACTCTCCAACCTCTCCAAATACCAACAATAAATTTACTCAGTAAACCAAAAGACCTTAACCTGCTACTTTTCCTTTGATCTGAATTTCTTTTTATTTGCTTAGCCAACACTTCAGGACTTGAGAAATACTCATTGATGTATGATCTTTCATGTTAAGACCGCTTAAGTGGCCATTTTAGTTAAGACAGAGTGCGTGTTGATTCATATTTTATCGCTCACTTTAACTTCTTCTTTGTAATGTTATAATAATCTTAATTGCAATTGAAACTAAATTAATATTTCTTATTTAATGTATCAAAAATTCTAGATAATTTATCTAGAATGAAAACTAAAATTGAAAAACACTTACAGTATTCATATTTCACGATCGACTCTGTTAAAGGATTTCAAAGAATCGGTCTAAAATATTCGGTCGGTCAAGTTTAATTTCGAAGCTATTAAATATGGTTCCTTTTTATATTTTTCTTGTAAACTGAGGTTAAAACCAGGAAAGTGCGAGGAATGGATGTAAGATTGAAGAACAATTTCTGTCATTTACAAATGTACACCTACTACTTTAAACTGATAAGCTTATATACTTCTAACGGTGAAATAATAATTGTCGGAAATGCAATGCAAAATTCCGGAAATGTAATGCAGCGCTGGTAACTCACTGACCTGCGTTCTGCTTGATTGATCCTCCCGAGCCGTGAACAAAAGAAGACACGGTGGGACAACTAGGGGAGGTCACTTGTCCGGGGCCTGAAAACATTAAAACATAGGAAAAATCTTCATTGTTTCACATGTACTCAATAACATTTAACATTTATTTCAGATAGATTTAATTTGTGTTGGTTTTCACTTGGCAAATGTGGTAATTAAAAGTAGGCGCTTGTTGATGAGATATGATGTCTCTGTATATCTGATTTTTATTTGTAGACAGATTGGAGGATTACCGTGTCTGAGGAAGTTCAGATGTGAGTACAGACTCTCAGCGTTAATGGGACCAAACAGGTGCGTGAACTGCTCCTTGTTCATGTTACAGAGGTGTCGTCCGTCTATCTGTTGGTAGCGGACCACGTCAAGGTCCCGGAGTTTGTACTCGTTCCTGGCCCACTCCAGCCACTGGTGCACGTCTCCCTCCGTCCACGTCTGGGGGTCTAGGGAATGTCAGATAATTATACAATCAGAATTGTTGGTTCAACATTATATCATTTTAAGGGTTTTATCAATTTTTGTTTTTATTATGCGCCCACATCAAGTGTTTTTCGACCAATATCATATAAAGCTAAACAGGAAAAGATCTCTTATGATGATAAATTGCATATTCATGGGCATCTCGACTTGTTAAAATTTTCTTTTAGATGGATCCAAGGGCAAGATTTACCTACCCAAATACCAAAATAAAAATTCATGTTATAGTAAATACCAGTAGTGTATACAAAGTATAATGAGAAAAAAAAAATCGTTATTTAAATTATTAAAATTACATGCACTTTTACACATGAATAGAATGAACCATATTACTCTTGCAGTATTTTTTCTCTGCGTTTGATTACCAGGCATTGTTTTTTTTTATTTAAAAAAAAAGAAGAAATAATCAAGACATATTTAATAAATTTGATAATATTTTCAGGTAAAGAAAATGTTCAACGAAAGAGAAAACCCCCGAAAATCTGACGCGTGAACGAAATATTTCTTCTTTTGTTTGAATCCTCACGTTTAATTCAGTTGATATTGTTGAATTACTAAGTGCTTTATGAATTAATTTTCTCCTAAAATGAGAAAGCAAAGTATTGTTCTTTAAAAAGGAAAATGAAGATAAATGGGTGTTATTTTTATCCCCGGTCGACGTAGAGTTTGGCAGCCCACGTGTGGCACAAGCCCTTCATTAAATCACCGAGTAGGACACCCTTAAAACGGTAATTTTCATACTCAAAAAGGAAAATAAAAACTGTGAACAAGTAAAATAGGTGTATTAGAGCTAATCAAATCGCACATGGACAAGGACTACCGGCCGAGAGCTCCGTCACCTTTGGTGTTTGCAGTGACACGCGACTTCTGTATTGTAATTCACGGCGCGCTATTTGGCACCTGCCTTCGTGTCTGAAGAGGGGTAAACATCGAGAGACTCAAATAAACAAAACTTGTCAAAATCCCGATATGCTCCGAAGAACTTAACATCAATAGTTTCTTTTAATCGTTAGTATATGAATACTAAGAATAAATACTTTGTAAGCAATCACTTAAAATCATACGTTTGATTTAAAGAATATCAGATCATTTCAAAGGATAAAAAAAATCTGTTTCCTGTGCAGAACAGGAAAAGCGTCATCATGCGTGTCCATTTCCAGATACCCGCGATCAATTCCTTCCGCGTTGTGTTTCACTTTCAACACATGTTAGCCAGTCAGTTTTATTTATAATAATACCTTTATCAACTTTAAAACAAAAGCTTTTAAAGTAGATTAATTTTATGATAACTAAATTGCAGAAATTTTAATATTTCTTCAATATACCGGTATGCTGAAATTGACGCATTGACATTTAAAAAAAAATATATTTATTAAAATATGTAAATAATTAAATGGACCATACAGACCTCTTATCTAATCATTGTAAATGTATGTATATTCGTATTTAACAAGTTTAAGATGAAGCACATGGACACATGCTCTCTACTTCATCAGATTTGGTTGCTCTACTCAGATATCTAAGCCATCGGAGGTGTATCCTGTTTTATGTATTTTAATCGCCTTACATTAATATTATTAAGTAGGTGTGCTCCTATTGATCAAAATAACAAGATTAGGGGAAAAAGAGGGGGAATAAAAGTTCTTAATTTTAAATGTATGTCTACAAATAAAGGCAGAATTTTATCACGGGACGCACAAACTTCACAAATATGAAATTCATATGACAATCAGATCACAGATACACTCTACATCCTGGTTAATTGGTCATCTTTCTGTAATTTTTCTCATGTTGATTAATCATTAAGTAGTAAACACACAGTTACATTTACATTGCGTATAGAAGTTGAAACAAATTTCATGACAATGATCATACTAGAACAGGAAAATAAATCTGTTGCCATCTGATAAATGGGGAATACTTTTAGAAAATAATTTTAAAAAAATATTGTTTGGCAAGAAATTTGTTATAAATATTTTATTCAGATATGACAATCTACTTACTCATTATAATACATCATTCATATAAGTAAAGCCCGGAGACTCAGTAACTTCAGGTCAACAAAGAGCATGCAGATCTAGGACCCGGATACAATTAAACAAAGATTTATTTTAAGATCATGCCTTTAACAGTCAGCTTCATCATGTCATGCTATCAGATCTGAAGGAGAATAAAGTATTAGATTATTATCTCATGCTATTCAGTTTGAAATAAAAAAAGGCATTCTAAACACATTAAATATATTGAAGTTTGAAATAATATGAGACATTCCAGATAGTGAAAAATACATATTTTCATTAAATTCCTACCTGCGGGAACTATGACTTTTTTGGGCTGAATTCCATCTGTATCGTGTTCAAGTTTGGGTCTACATGAGGTTACATGGGCTTCATTGACATTTTTTGAGGTGACGTCACAAGCTTTCTTTACATTTTCAAAGTAAGATGGCGGTAATGTCTGTGAGGTCTGGATAGGTTTTTGTGAGGTGTCTCCGTACGGCACCGCGGCAGAATAAGCTTGCTGTTGGTTGAGGAACATATTGGGGTAAGCGGTGTAGAAAGGGTTGTTAATATCGTCCATGTCAGCACTCACATCCCGCGCTAACATCGGATCCTCAACCGTTACACTGTTAGCATGACTAGAACACCTCCCAGCACTGTCAAAACTCTGCTGGTTTGAGGTGTCATACCTATTGGTGTAACCCGGGTATTGGAGGTACTGCTGCATGTTGGCTAATTCCGTGGAATCTATGCTAGATGTCTGATAATGAGACGTCCCCCAAATAGAACACGATGGTTCTGATACCACCCCCGGCTCACTTTTAATAGAACGACTAGCGTACTCTTCTAGAGGTCCATTTTCGGAGCCTGCGGGGGTTATGTTCCCGATTGTGCTTGGGATTGGAATGGGCACGGTCTGTGTCACTAAGCTGTCTATACCTCCACTTAAAAGATTGGAGCTTGTTTGCTGGCTTTCCCCACTTTCCTTGATATCAATAACACTAGCAGGGCTCCCATCTTGATTTGAAGATTGCGTTGTAGAATCTGCTAAGGGGGGTTGGTTTTCATTCCGTAGCAGAGATTCTGTGGGTATTAAAGGTGGAATTTGGGGGCGCTGAGGAAATCCATCTGACGGGTGTACCTCCTGATGTGTCTGAGAGATGGGAATGTCCTGAATTGCGTTGACAGGCGAGCTTCGTTTTTCTGGGATCAGAGGTGGTATGTCGGAGGTTGCGGGCTGTTGACATGTTTCTGTAGTTTCTCTTTGTTCGCCTTTCTCTGTGTTGGGGAGGTATGGAGGAACAGAGGAACACTGATGGGTGTCTAAAACAGTCTCTGGACTCGTCCTATTTTGTTCAACGGAACGAGGGCGAGGAGGAACCAATGTGGTTTCTGTATCTTCTTGACGATTTTCCTGTTAATAAAAATTAAATTTCACCAAATGCATTTAATGCGTGCTTGATTGTTAAAAAATGAACTTGAACTATGTAATGAAATAGCTCATTTCATATGACCGGAATACCTGTCTGTAATATAGGATATCCTTATCGTCCGTTCTAAACGGAGATGTAGTACTCCCCTATTTCCTAAAGATTCTTTCCTCTTTAATTTCCATTTCCCCGCTCATAGGAAATTGTTCATGTCGGTGAAACATTGCATGAAGTAGTGTTACGTTATAATTATACTTAGCATCCGAATAGTAGCGGTACAATTGTAAGAAGCAGAAAGTAGAGACTACTTACCATTTTCGAGACATAAAAAGTATTGAACACCAGAAGGAAGCAATTTGAAAAAACTCAACCCTTAAAGTGATAACTCATATACATAATGCAGTGTTGTTATGAATTTAAAACGAGGCTAGAGGCTTGTCATATTTCTGCGGCGACAAGTGTATATTTCAGAAACAGGAAGTTGGATACTTATCACGACGAAACATACAGGGCAGGAAACGAGGTTCGAGAGGCCGGATGAGAGCGTAATTTATCGAGATAAATACTTTTCAAGTACCAAACACTTTCTTACTTGTGTGACAAATTTTACAAAACTTAGTTTCACTTATGAATAAACAAGATAAGGACTATGCTAGCTTCATTTCCCGCCTTTAATGACGTCACGAAGGCTTTTCAACAAAAGTTTCCAAGTGATATGAAGTGCTTTATAGCAGAATGCAAGCAGATTTTTATTTAAGAGATTAGGCTTTTGTGCATTTGGTATTGGAAAGGAAATGATTGCTTGCGGAAATGTTTTCCCCACCAAAAATGTTAAAATGGCTGAATTTGACCTCAACAGAAATCTGCCTTCCATGGCTTAGATTAATAGCTGTATGGCATAGTTAGTAAACTTTTAATATCTTTGTATTAAAAATGAATCCTTGCCCGTGTCCAGGATTAGCTTCGCGTAACTAAGATTCTTGGTACAATTACCTAACCCATTTACGTAGACATAGCTTATAAAAAAACGTATCAAAAAACCTCATTCTCTGCAGGCATGATATATACTTATTAATAATCAATACCACAGACCGGTCTCCACAAGTCAGTCCCTACCAACCCATTCAACTGATCCATGGACGCCAATGAGGATGATGACACATTGAATTCTCACGGACCAATGACCTGCTATTATTGAGAAGTAGTTTCTTAAAGATTCTCGTGTTTGACTGATTAGAGCTCGCGTGGAGCAGTGGTTAAAGCATTTGCTCTCGAATCGCGATGTAAGTAGTTGATCCTAACGTCGCGGGTTCGATTCCCACTGTGGGATGTGGAGACCGGTCCTTCGGATGAGACCGTATAAACCGAGGTCCCGTGTCGCAGTAGGTGCTGGCACGAAAAAGGTCCCTCCCTGCTCAATGGTCCTCAGTGCCGAGTATAGGACAAAATTTGCAGCTTCTCTATGTGGCGTCTCTAAATGGGTGAAAAATTCTCGAGAGGGACGTTAAACAATATATATAATCAATCAATCAATTAAACTGATTAGTGATCTTGCCCTTATTCCAGGGTGACTGATTCAAGAAATTCGAATCAGCACTACATTGGGATGTGCGCATGAATATATGGAGAAAACGAACAGTATAAAAGTCCAAAAATCTATTAAACAATAAGAATTGCAGCAGAACAAACGTGGACCTCCTAAACATCAGAAGTGGGATTAGGTGCCATGGAGGAGTGAGCATTCTTTGCCGACCAGTCAGTTTTCATGATCGGGAAATAACGAAAAAATCCGTCGACAATTCAGTGTATATATAATGGCCTAACAATTAGTATGAAAACCGTCAGTCAGCATTTGACTTAAGGATATCCGATCATCAGCCAGGAAGGACAACTCCGAATTAATATTTAATTTGAAATGCATTTAAATGATACTTGAAAATTAATTTTTTACTTGCAACAATTTTCATTTTATTCATCTTTATAAGATTCAAGGTTTTTTGGAAGTCTTAGAAAAGGCCTTATAAAAGTTGACATTTGTACCCTATGAAAGGAAAAAAATTAATACAGTTTTATAGAAATAAGATTTTCTTCAATCTAACCTTAGATACCAACACTTATTATAGCATGATATCAAATAAGAAGTGATTTGTGGTGTCTTGCAATGATAGCAAAAGCCTTTTACACTGTGTATTATAGAATACATGACGGAAATAAAAGACAAAAAATACTAAATAAGTATAAAAATTTCTCTGAATGCCTGGATACCTATCATTTTTTAACCTAACATATATTTGTTGATCAATTTGCAATTAGAAAATGCATTGCTGATATTCAAATTCGCCTTTTCTGCAAAAATATTGGAGATTTGACAATTTTCTGCATATAATATGATTAACTTTAATCTTTAACTTTAAAGAAATACTGTGGATAAATTTACATAACTTTGTGGATTCAGAGATACTTTTATGAGTATTATTGATTACTTAACTGCTAATTTTATAAACCTGAGGATCGGACTACCTTAATGATAAATTGTATTTGCTGACTAGGTCATTATATCGATCATAGAACAAACGAAATGATAAATTTAAACGAGACAGTTGATATTCTTGTTTCATCATCGTGTTTGTCGATAATTTACCTCGCTTTGACTTTGACAAATTATGACCTCTCGCTTTTTTTAATAATTCAACACTGTTCCTTTTAAAGGGATACTTCCCACCATTTGCATAACTTAATTGTTGAAACTGACCTTGATGTTTTTATGACTAAAATATAGAAAGTGAAAATTTTACATACAAACTATATTGATTAGAAAGAGGTTTTTGAGAATCCCCGACTCTTTTGAGCTGAAACAAAATACTGAGAGAGAGAGAGAGAGAGAGAGAGAGAGAGAGAGAGAGAGAGAGAGAGAGAGAGAGATCACTCGATCGTAACTGGGATTAAATATAAATATAGACAATTCAGTAGACGAGACAGTCTGATACCGGGGAAATATAAGGAAATATTGTTCTGTTCCAAGAACTATTTTTATATCAATTCTTCCGTGTTATTCAAATTAAGGATGATCTCTCTTGTCGTGCTTTGTAAACTCTATTTTGGTCATTCCCATTCAGTTTCCTCGAAAACATCTTTTATTCTGTATTGTGCCAAAAGTATTTCCTTTATTTTAACCAGATCAAAAAGGCCTAACAAAAATGAAACTTTATGAATTTTTATATTAAGTGTTTACCCTGTAAAAGAAACTAAAAGAAATTCTATGAAATTGTTGCTGTGGTAGGAAAACATTGGTAATTAAGGACTACGTAAGGTAGTTTCAAACTTGAATATCTTACATCCAGTAAAATTTAACAGTTCCAATTTAATATCGAAGGAAGTTTTTGCGATTGTATTATGCCTAGTAGTACTAATCACCTCCTGGAAATCATTTTGTAGGAAATACCAGCTAAAAATAATTTACTAGTATATTAATTTTTCTTTTAAAATATACTTGGATTTTATATCTGGTAAAAGTCTTGGTAATGTATGCTCCTTTTCATGTAATAACATCTCATAAAACTATGATTTAAAATTAAGAATATATTATAGAAAATTATCTGCGGGAAAGGTGCATTGCAGAGTTTGTATGTACGTTGTGTTTTTCCTTAAAATCATACAAGAATATCCAAAGTCGAATGAAAAGCGAGCGGTACGGGGAGGGGGACACATAGTTTTTTATTTAGTCTAAATATTGGCAAATCTAGAAGATATAGAACAACATTTATATCAGAAAGAAATAGAGGCCCAAGGGCCTTAGTGGGCACCTGAATATAATAAATCATTGTAAAGGATCCATAAAAGTATAAATGAAAATACTGTTATAACGATAAAGATGTTTTACCCAAAAGCTAGACAAATAGGATGAGCGGGGATTTACATAATACCGAGTAGTTAGGTCACTTAGGTGTAGTTCGTTTTAGCCAATCATCAGGCAGTTCTATTTATTTACTTGTCGGTGGTGCAGTATACACCCCCATTTGTAAGAGACTAAACAAAACAATAGTGCTTGAACAGTTTTAGTTGTCACATGAGGCATTACATTTCCTCTTACAATGGCCTCTCTTGGTCCCTATAGCTTATGTAAAAAAAATTATTCTTAATTCATTGTTTTTCTTTTCAACAATTTTACCTGACTACTAAAACTTTGAAAGTACTTTTTGTATTAAGCTTTAAAATTCTTGTAAATTCTTATATTTAACTGAGAAAAATATTCAAAGAAATAATACATTTTCACTCTATAATCAATAAAGCCCACCCTAACACCAAATCCCAAGGTCTAACACCTGGACCGTGGGTTTTACAATTTTGAGACAGGCACCCTTGTCCATGACAACCATGCGCTTAGTTTGTCTGTAAAATATACCGAAAGATGGCGGAGGGCAACAGATAGCGTCTGGTAGGTCACCTGAGAGAGGCAGGAGACCTAAAAACAAGTAAAAATGAATAATTTTAATCTGATCTTACACTAAACTCTCTTTCTAGATGTCTCTATTTCTCATTTTCCTTTCTCTTTATTGACAAACATGTATTAAAATACTAGTAGTCGAATTAGATAATGAACATCATTTACGTTTCCTTGGGATCTTTAATGAAAAATATACATGTACTTGAGTCATTTAGTTATTAAATCTTAGTGTAAGATCAACATCTCTTTGTAAAATAAGGCTTTTCACGTCAGGAAACCGCTATTTCTTTATAACGGAAAATACAATAGGAAATATACATTGCACGCCATTAACATTTGTTTCAGAGCTCTAAATTAATGTCACGTGTCTAATTCCGATTCAGAATGAACCATTTCCACATTGTAAAGTAGCTACTATAATAATGCAGGGCCTTTGAAATACAGAAGTGCTTTTCCTTGTACGAATTCTAAATTCATAATCTGAAAAATGCAGTTATCTTTTATCCTCCAGGAATATCATACAAATAAAAGAAGAGTGAACACAATTTAAAGAAAAACTTCATCAAAAGCCGCACTCTTATTAAATGAAAGGAAAATGGCGATATTAGACGAAATAAATTGAAAGGGGTTAGAATAAAACAAGCGTTATTGAAGATTATTGAGAGAGAGAGAGAGACAGAGAGAGAGAATAATTCTCTGTTGGGACAGACGCGGGTATGAAGTTCTATCCGCATACATATCTACTCCCGTTCCAACCCAAAAGTCTACTTTGCAGTTACGGAATCTGTCCTAGCAGATCGGGAACAGGGCGCTTGACCGATCGGCCATCTAGGAAAGTCAAACTATAAACTTAGTATCGATGCCAATGGAATTCTATTAACATTACCCTAAACATAACAATTTTTACATGGGATTATTACGTGTTCATATTAAATATATCAGTATACTTGCATCTACGAGTATTGGACGTACAATGAACAATATTGTACAAGGTGTTTTTCATCTAAAATAAAGAATTTACATG